TTTTTCTCTGGTTAGAAAAACAGTTTGTTTACCCAAGACCACAAAACTCTGTGGATTTTCTGAAAGAAACCCCTCAGAGAGAAAAAGAAAACAATCACAGATAATACTCCAGAAATCATCAGATTACAGCACATTCTCTTGACTCACATCTGTTGTGTAAATAAGTGCTTCGTGTGGACCAGTTTCATTTACTTCCCTCTCCCGCGAGCAGCGGCTGCTGGTTTACTTTCCAGTGGTCTGTTCCAGGGCTGTATGTGGGGCAAAAGGATTATTTCCAGCAGAGTCAAACCAGTAGTCTTTTTTGCTCGGGTTTGTCTTGAGCTGAAACTCCTCTCGTTTAATCCCATTCTCCCAGCAAGATGCACTACTTCAGAGCTGCACGGATACAAAGAGGTCCACAGCTGGGAATACTCTCAAGGCAGCAAGGAGCAGCAGGAAGGTGCACACAGCCCCTCAGGAGAACCTCAAACTCAGCGACCCCTCTCCCTTAGGAGTAATTTCAGTGAAGCTTACCTTAGGCCACTACAAAACGTCCTGCAGAAGTCAGAGTTTTCTCTGTGAAACACCCAGCCACGGAGGGCAAGAAGGCAGGAGCACTGTGGGATGCTCTGCAGCACATTCTTGCTTGAGGGCACCTCGCTGGGGACACAGGAGAGCTTCATCTTCCAGGGTAGCTGGAAATGCTACTTTTAGTGCTGTTCTGATCTGGGTTCAACAAGCCCTTCAAACTACTTGTTTCAAGATTAATTCTACTTGAAATTAAAATGATGACTCATAATTTTTTTATTTGGGTTTTGTTCTATCGTCAAGTGTCTCTTCAGTGATGAGTACTTATCAATAAACTACCCAAGAACAATTTTCTTGGGCAGGAAAAACTAAAGCAGACCCCTCCGGCCGTGAAAGCAGTGTTCACCCACGTTCTGCATGCAGAACACACCTGCTGCGGACCAGATCACCCATCTACTGTAACGCTTTGTCACCACAGAGCCTCGTATGAGATGCTTCACAGAAAGATGCAGAAAGGCCTGGGGCAAGCAATTATTATAATAACTCGCCCCACAAGAAAACTTAATTACTTGAGGTTAGAAGGGCACCTGGTTTAATGCCCGCGGGCAGGGTGGGCTCCTCTGCCGGGGCTAATTCCACACACCCGGCCACACACGCGGCAGCGCCCAGCACTGCTCACCCGGGGAAACACTCTCATGCACATGCATCCACTGCTCCCACACCTCTACTGAGCGGGAAGAGCCTGGTGCAAACAGTCAGGAGGATGAGGATTGCACGGCTGGCTGTGAGCTCAGGGACACTCCTGTCACCCCTGTTCCCAGCTCCTCCCAGGGCCCTGCCTGCATCAAATCAGCATCAACAGCCCCATAAGGACACTCTGCAATACATACAGAGAGCGAGAAGAGGAAAACAATAGAGCAAGTCCTGTATTTCTCAGACATACGTTAATGCTTTGTTATTTACCTGCTTACTGCATTTTGGAATAAACGTATTGTAAACCAGGCAAATTTCCAGTTTCTCAAAAATCGATATTAAAAAAGTAGTCTGGTGGTGACAGGTCTCCGCAGGAGCCAAGATACTCTGGGAAAATGCCCAAGCTCTCTCAGTAGTTTTTGAGTTTTGTCCAAGCTCCCAAAGCAGCCTGGTGATATACAAGACACACAGACTGGTTCCCATTGCAGTTCAGATGTCCTGAAGAACAGCCATCTAGAACCTGGGTGGTTTCTCAAACCCATCCTAAATAGCTGCAAATGAGCTGACTCGTGAAGGCTTTTATGTAATTCAAAAAATAATACAGTGAGTGATGAAGTGTAGCATTTACATTTGTATTTTAATACAATACACGGAAGCTCAGTATGTTGAAAATACAAGAATTTCACCTTTGTTTGAAACATGCACATACATGCGTATGTAGCGCCCAGATTACCATCACATGTTGGGCAGGCAAGCCTAAGCCTTACTTCACATTCTTCTGCCGGTCTTGTGAATGGCAAACTCATCCCTAGTGTCTACATCTACCACTTCTCTTTTTTCGATATGTGTATTTTATTCCTGGTGGGAAGGAAATGAAACTAAAATTTGCATCTCTTCCCATTCTGTGACTATTGGTCGACTGTGACCTTTACTCAGGATTTTCAAGGTGGGAGGTTCAGGGATGATTGATGCATGTTCCACCAGTAGAGTGCACACCAGGTACTGGATACCAGGCATCAATGAAAATGTTCAGTTGGATATATTCACCTGTAAAAGTACACATACAACCCTACCTAATGCTATCATGTGCCCTGCCAAAATGTTTCACAGGTACAAGCACACAATGTGTGTGCACCCAGCAGTCCCAGGCAGATGTGTGAGCAGCTCCTTCTATAGGCTCCTACACCACATGCCTCCAACCTCCTCTGGCAAAACTAGTCCCACCTCATGAGGGTCTGTGTATTTTGCCTACCTTTCTCAGTTCAGTCATGATCACCCAGGCTTTTTGAGCACTGACTAGTGACAAAACTTAAGTCTGTAATGAACACCTCACTATACTATATGTCCTCCACCATAGTTCACATTTCTCCAAAAAGACACTTTTTTCCTCACTTCTCCTTCCCCATTTTACTCTCTTCAATCCCATTCATTTTTTCCCCTTTCCTTCATTATCATCATTTACTTGAGCTGTCCTCCACGGGTGAGGAAAAAGTCTCCTTGAATGAGCTTCTGATGAGACCTTATGTTTTTAGATACCATCACCACTATCCTCTCCATCTTCCAAGGGCAGAGTTGCTGTAAATCAGAGAATATGCCACAGACATTATTTACTTTCCTAGAAAGGTCCTCATTTTGGTGCAAATCTCTTCTCTGCATCTGGCTTTACTAGAACATTGCATTCCTCCATTTCTTTCAGTATCCTTAGTCATTTATATTACCTTCCAAAAAGTAATTATTTGGAACCAGTTAAGCCTGTATATGAATTCTGCCCTTGTTTAAAACACATTGTACATATGTATATATTTAGACTGTCATTAAATATTTAAGAGGCTGTCTTCGAACTTCAGCAGCAGCAGTGTTTACTCACTTAACCCTTTGTGAAACTGAAAGCTTGAGGCTGAAATCCTATTGTGGAGGAATTCAGAAAGCCCGGTTGCCCTAGTGCTGGGTGACAATGGCCAACTTTGACAACCAAGGACATCGCAAAGCAACCACAGGTTTTCTTTGTTTTCCTTTATATCCTGTTTGCTAGTAGTCTAATCATGATAATGTAATTCATTTTAGTCTGCATTAACTTTATCTGCTGAGATGCATAACTAGGATGCAAATTAATTAGCTGTGACATACAGATGGATCTTTCAATACAATTCACAGAGTCAAATACACACATGTCCAGCCCTCCTTCCCACAAGTAAAGTAAGACATTCTACACATTCTTCCACAGGTCAAGAAGTCACCGTTGTTGGTATCTTCAACCTCCTAGAGAGGAAACACCACATCCTGCAGACAGGTGGACCTCATGCAAATACAACCCCAAATACTCTATCGTAGATGAAACCCCATCACAAGTAACTTGCAACGTGTGCTGGCCCCAAGCTTAACACAACATAACGCCACCACCCTGCTGACATGAGGTTAACATGTTTTAAAATCTGGTCACCTAATTTACCCAACTTGGTAAGGCCTCTACCTAGAGTAAATCATTCATATTTCACCCTGACAAGGACTGGTACCTCAGGGCCAGTTCCCCATGTCCAGGGCACCCACACTCTTGTCCTTCACATGAAGTGAAATGGTGTAAAGATCACAGCAGAGGATGGGAAAACAGGCACAGAAAACCACAATATGCAACTCCCAACTCTATACAGATATGCAAATAGATGTATCCTGGAGAGTATGTTTTTTCTTCTTTTTGATTAAAACCTTGAGGATGCATTGTTGAATCCAAGCCCAAAATGCCTCACAAGAGTCCCTCTGTGTGCAGTTTTCAAGGCCCAGACATATTTAGAGACATTTCTTTTCCAAGCAACTACAGCCTCATTGATTATCACATGCTGAGTTAGGTGGGATGAACAACGGAGTCTCTCCTACAGCTTTCACACCTGGGTTACAGATCAGCACAGAAGCATTTTTGCAACCGCCTGGCTGCATTATCCTACCTTGAGGATGTGACCCTGTCACATTTTATAAAGGGAGTGGAGCACCAGGCATGGTCCCTATTTGCACGGAGGAGCCAGAGGCCACGGCAGGACGTGGTGCTGGGAGATCACCAGATGGCATACTTTGCTGTGCATAGGCACCAAAGCAGGAGTGTGAAGGGGCAGCAGCACGCTCTGGCAGGTGCGCTCACTCCAGTAAGATGCTGGGTCAAAGAGCTTCAGCATTTGCAGTTGTTCAGCAGAGCAAAGCCCATTCACCTCAGCAGCTCAACCACAGATTCAGTCTGCCTCGGTTCTTAGAGTAATCTTGTTTTCTTGTCAACATGGTTTTTTAGTTCCTGTCTTTTAACAGCAGCATTGCAACAAATGCTGAAGCCTCTCCACACCACCTCAGATATGGACACATGTTAGCGGCAAGTCCACTTTTTGTATGAACAGCACAGCAAACCAGTTGGATTCATGCTATTGTATCCCCTGAGGGTTGTTATGTACACCTCTCACTACAAAATAAGTGGCAAAAACACTTTGGGAGGAGCAGAATTCATGGGGAGAAGTCTATTTTTTATTAGACCAAATGTCATAGCTGTAAAAAAATTGACTCACGTCAAACCACAGGCGGGTATGTTTGCTTTTATGACACCTTGACAGCACACATGGTATACTGTGCAGCAAAGACTTTTCCCATCTCTAAATTAGCTCCAGTGCTGAGATCTAAAAACCAAAAACTAGCACAGCCTGCAAGGCTGCAATTGTCAGGTCTCCCTTTTTCCCCACAAAAAAATATTCCCTGAAGGAGACCACAAACCAAAGGGACTCCTGGGTGACAAATCATGAGCTTAGCTTAGTATCTCTACTGATCACCCGTCACTGCCGCTGTATCGTTTCCACGTGTGCATCGTTTCACCATTCGCCCATCAGTTTCCTGAAAGTGAATGGGATTAAAAGTCTACTGAGTGTTTGCACTGCTGTTTCCTTCTCCTCTGCAGCAGAATTACAGTAACCGAAAGGTGAGCAGAGTTCACACAGGCACACACAGGCTTCCTGGCTTTGCAGTGCTGACCTTCCCCGTCTCTCCCAAATCCCTGGGGATAGTTTCGGTGCAGAAGCAGGCAGCCAGTCGGAAATTTTCATCAGTATTAATGCCAACGTAGTTTCTTCCTAACTGCTCTCCAGAAGTATTTTTCCACCCAGGTTCCCTTGTGCACCACAAAACCCTCCAGCTGTTGGCAGCTCCGGGTGCAGCTCCACTGCTGTACACCTAGTGCTGTACAGCTGGTCTGCTTTAATTCAGCGTCTAATTCCTGCTACCCAGGAAACATTCTCACGTGAAAAACTTCATATATAGGCACCTACTCTGCAGTAAGCATAGTGGTGGTCGGCATTTAAATGAACTAATCAGTTGCAAACGGCTTAGTCAGCATCGCAGTCCTGGAGGTAATTCCCAGGAAGCGATTTTCCCGGTAGCTATATATACAAACGTGAAAAGCAGACTGGAATACAAGGGCAACAGCACAGCGAGACAAAATCTGGCTACACTGTAACATTACCAACGAATAAAAATAAAAGTCGGGGAAAGTCAAGGAACCGAGCAAGCACAGGATGTACTCGCATCACTGGTGTATCCTCTCACACGTAAAAGACAAAAACTCGGATACAGAACGTGAACGCAGTCAGCATTTCTTTTTCCTCCTTTCTTTACTGATGCTGCGCTAGTTTGAACTGAGGGGAAAAATACGGCTAGGCAAGTTCCTGGCTTGTCTGTGGAGACACACAAACACCAGCCAGACGCCGGGCAGTGCTTTTTGGAGAGAGCATCTCAGCCATCGCCCTCAGCAACCA